TTTACGAATACATTATTCATACTAATATCTTTATTACTAAAATACTATTTCTTTCTTTTAAATATTAAACAGATAAAAATAAGCGCTATTTGTAGATAACAGATATCTAATTATTTTATATAACTATATAGAATAATATATTTTTTTGTAATCTTTTTTATTATTAATTAAAAAACAATAAAACTTTTAGTTTAATTGAAAATAATAAAATTTGTGTAATAAAATTTTACTTTAGCCCAAATTAAAATTAAAAATTAATCTGAAATTATAATTTTGCCCAGATTAAATTATAATATTATAAAAAATTACCTATCGTATTGTCAGATAAATGTACGATATGTATCCTATATTTACCCGATATCTATATAACATGTGTCCGATATTATACTGACCAATATCTATATGATATTTATACGACATGTATAAGATATGTGCCCGATATTATACTACCTGATATATGTGTAATATGTGCACTATATCTATAATATATATCACCGAACTTCTGCATAAACATTACATATATCAGGTACCCTATATTTGTGTAATTGTTGCATATCGTATACATATCATATACATATCCTACATATATCTGGTACCCGATATGCAACCGATAGCCTCGATTTTGACCTGTGTTAGCTATATGATAAAATATTCAACTATAGTTACATAAAATTATTTTAATTAATGATTAATATAAGAAATGACATTTCCGATGACTGATATAGTTTGCTTTTTGCAAGGATATCAAATTTATTTTTAATAAATCATTATCAGTTATAAGGTTCTTTATGTTGGAACTTACCAATTGATTTCTCATTTGCAAATTATATGGATGAAATTCCATCTACTTATTCAATAGTATTACAATTCAGATAAATCTGTAATCCATTCTGTTTAATTTAGATTGATTTAATTGATTTGAAGAACTATTATGGATTTATAGATTCACTACAAATTTCATTTAGATCATCTATTAAATTTGTAATTTGTAATTCCAGCCCAAATTATAATATTACGTGATCTTAGATAAATATTTAGCTACTTCATAAAAAAATTTTTGCCAGCTAAATATACTAACATTTAAAAATTTGGCCTGAATTATGATTTTAATTGATCATTTGAATATATCTGCTTTTTTATCCATCATCTGCCTGAGTTCTAATTTCTAACGAATCATTTGAATGTTTCAGATCTGCCAGATTGATCAGATTGATGGATTGATATGATTTGAATTATAACACTATTGTCCAATAGAATCAGCTGTTTTATTTCCATATATTCTTTGAAATTTAGTTTACAAAACTTATTTCTGGTACAAGCTATAACCTAAATATACCCCAATGCTTTTTATCAAGGGTAATATATCTGAAATCTTTTAGTTATAAACTTGTTATTTAATCCATATATATATTTTTTTTGCCAATTGACAACCTTTCTATTCTGAGAAATATAAGTTGATTGTAGGAATAATAGATAGCCATTCCACATTTTGTGAAACCATTTACAAAAGTTTGGCAGCACAAAAGTAATCAATCATATGTATAATAATTTTTATTCCGAAAAAATTATTTGAAGCTTTTGATGGGTTAAGTCTTAAAAAATCTACTACTTACTCTTATTAATACCCATTATTATAGCATGTATTTTTTAAAATATTATTACTTACGCACTTTTCATCAGTGTTTAATATTTTAAGTTCATTCTCTGTAATTGTTAATGATAATATTGGACTTGCAATACCCTTTGTTAATATGCAGCATTGCTTTTTTGCTTATTGCATTCTCAGCTACAAATGCAAGATGCTTACTATAAAATCAAAAATAAACATCCGATTACGAATACTATTATCTATTTCACGTGATTTTAAAACAAGGGTTTGATTGATCCATTTTTAGCCTACTCAATAACTTCCATCGGACTTTTGTGTATACTGATCCTATTGTGCTTAATATAAACGGTAAATAAGTAAAATTTATAGATTTATCAATTTTTTTTTATAAAAGGCACGCTCAAAATATCATTATTTTTTTTGTGAATTTTATAAATAAAATTCATTTTCATAATATGGTTAACGAAGTTACTATTGTTGTTTCGGATGATAATGAAAAAAATAGTAAATCAAATGATCGTGAAATGAAAGAAAAACATGCGGAATCAAAAATTGATCGTAATTTTGTTTCTCAATACACGAACGGTGAAAAAGATAATGATCATGAAACGGAAGTTAATATACAAAATCATAAGGAATCAAAAATTGATCGTATTTTTGTTTCTCAATACACGAATGATTATATTGTTACTTATAGTAAAAAAGATAATTCAATTGTTGGATGGTCGATTAAGGGACAACCGCAACCCGATGAATTTTATAAGCTTGATGAACTTAAGCTTAATAAACTTAACGAGCCATCATACGAAATAAAGTCATTTTCACTTTATAAGAAAAAATTGTCATTGTGTTATCGTGAAGAAGATGGAAGTTATAAGCAATGTAGGTAATTTAATTTTTTTGACGCAAAATACGCAAAATAATAATATAGGTTTATGTTTAATTAATGATTTATATTGTAATTATAGGTCTTATAGATTTAAAAAGTAAACAATTTTACGAACTAGAGCATTCCTATTCCATTGATGTTCATGGACAATATAGTATAGGATTCCTTCATGATGATGATGATGATGATTGTCCGAAGTGTAAGAAGGAGACTCATGGTCATTTAATTCTAGTATCATTATATGATCACAAAATTTACAAGTACTGTCTAAAAGATATGCCAAAAAATGCAACAACTTTGAAATATTCGGAAATTTATGATATAAAGATTCCCGAAAGTTTAAATGATCAGTTTAAATATAAATTTTGTTCTATATATCAAAAAAAGTTATTTCTATTTTTTCAATATCATAAAACATCAATACTTCAATTTGATCTATTGACAATGAATTTAGATAGACAATACAATTCACCTTTAGATTTGGATAGTCAATACAGTTCAGATTCTCGTTATGAATTTACAACAGTAATAATGAATAAAGACAAGACATTATTAGCGACAGAAATTTCATATAGTACTTACATATTTTCAATGAAAAATGGAAGATTGATTACAAAATATTCTCAAGGCGGTCAGTATTAACTTTTACAATACATTTTTGATGGGGTATATTTTAATAATTATTATTTATTTATAGGTCTTTTTAGTGTCGGTAGTACTCCAATAGAATTCGTAACTTTAAAAAATGGTTTTGAAGGATTAATTGTTCATAGTGTATATTATGGTATGCTTAGTCAATATGTATTTATAGATCCTTATCACCCTTATAGAAATTTTGGAGATCCTGGAAAAAATAATATTATCAATGGTACCATTGATGATAATAATGTGATAACTAAATTAAACAGAAAACTTTCCATTGATGACGATGGTAATGTTTGCATCAAAAATGGGTTAGATGAAAGTGAATTCCAACAAATTTCAAACAATACTACTTATCATAAGATTTATAATTCATCTACTTTTAAAGAAATACAAAGTATGCTTAATGAAACCGTTGAAAAAATGGAAAAAATGGAGATTAATAGGGTTGCACCAGCTGATATAGAATTTGAAGATGGGCATATTATTTTTAAAAAAGAGGATGAGTGTGATTCAATTCACTTTGTGATGAACACCCCTATAGTACCTAATAATATAGTACCTTTTGTCAAACCTTATACATTTTCATATAAATTAATAAATAATAAACAGGATTTGGTACTAATTAATGTGGAACAAATCGAAATTTTTACAAGATCGATTAATGGAATTACTTGTCAATACCAATGGAACAATGATGAATGGAAAAATACTTATAAAAAATTCAGAAGTAAAAATCGTCGTTACGATAAAAATTTTATTAATGAGCACTATAGAAAACTTATTAACAAAATTTTAAAGAATGAATTTAATGATTCAAATTCTTCAATACCATTACCAAAATTTTCTTCTGAAGTACATGAAATACTTAATAACAATCCATTAGTTGAGAATATTAAAAATGATACGGAAGCATTGTCAAAATTTAGAAAGGATATGTTAGATAACAAAATTAATTATCAACAAATGAAGGCAATAACTACAAGTATTGTAGATGATAAAGAATTATTTTCAAAATTTGGGTCAGAAATTTTAAAGATGGCAATTGAAAATAATTATAATGATATTGTTAAAAAAGTTATTGACAAAATTATTGAATCAATTCAAGTTAATTCAGAAAATCGTGGTTACATGGAATTGGCGAACCCTTCTCAAACTAATTGCAGTTATATGATGACATTGTTACCTTTTATTAGTTCAAATTTTCTAGAATTATCTAAGAAATATCCTGATTTCGCAATCAAATATATCTCATACACATCCATTATATTATCTCCTTATTGTGATTTCATTAGAAATTCAACAAATACTTCACTTCATTCATATTCGAATGTTTACATCAAAAAATCAAATCCGGTTAATAATTATTTTAAGCCGATATCATCGTTATGGACCAGATCCAAGACCGATCAGTCATCAACCAGCCAGCAAGAAGTAGTCCAAACAATCAGTTTTATTGTTCCTTTTCCTCGAATTTGTGTATATAAAAATCAAAAAAATAATGGTAGCAAAAAAAATGATCGAAATAATAATCATCATGAGACTGAAAAAACTGAAAATATCGAAAAAATTAATCACGAGACTGAAAATAATGTTCCTCATGACGATCATCCATTTAATATTTGGAATGAGTTTTTATATAATCCAAAATCTCTTCTCTTTTGTAATATTGATAGTAACCATTTTTATAATTGGTGGAATTTTGCCGCAATTATAGATTTTAAATGGAGAACTTTTGGACGGATTTATTATTTTTTGATTTGGTTTCTCTATATAGTTTATTATATTTGTTATACATTAGCTTCTATATTAGAACCAAATTTTATCACCGATGTTCAACGTAAATCGCTTTTTATAATTTCAATTATATTTGGCTCCATATTTTTAATTTTTGAAATTTTACAATGTCTATGGGATTATAAAATTTATTTTAAAGATCCTTGGAATTATTTTGGTAAGTAAATATTCATTTAATTGTTTTATATTTTAATAAATTTTTAACTTGATTTAAATATTAATAGATGTCGGGGCATATTCTTTACCAATTGCTGCATCCATTTGTTGGATTATTAATAAAAGTCAATCCCCTTGGCTTGTAGCAATATCTATTATATTATCAAATTTTAGATTTTTATTATTTTTTAGAGTATTTAAATCGTGTGGAATTTATTTTGCCATAATATTGGGTGTTGCCAAAACAGTTTATCCATTCTTAGTGGTCTTAGCTTTTATAATACTCGGATACGCTCAAGCATTTCTTTTTATTCTAAGATCAACCAATGTTAATGATGCTAATGATCCGTGGAATCTTGTAACTAGATATTATTTTGCTAATTCAAATGAAATTATAAATAATACAACAACATTAGTTCAACTCCCTAATTCAAATACAAATTTGTTTAATTGGTTCCCTACTTCACTGTTTGCCGTATATAAAATTATCACTGGTAAGTAATTTACTTTTCATTTAAACCATTTTTTTTTTTTTTTTTAAAAAAAAAAATAATAATAATAATATTTTATTTATAAAATTATAGGTGATTCTGGATCTTTATCACCATGGGCTTTTCAAGATAATCCCTTAATGACTTTTTTACTATTTACCTTTACATTTTTCACAGTAATTTATCTTTTGAATTTATTTATCGGATTGCTCAATATAGCGATTGGAGATTATAATAAAGAAGAGGAATTTTTACTTCAAAAAGCACAGGTATTTTTTTTTTTGTATTAGTTATATTGTTAATTGTATTTTTAAATTAACTACAATTTGTTTTTTTAAAGATTATTGAATTATTTTACATGTTTCCATGGTGGAAACATGACAAAGAATGGTTTCCGGAATGGATGTTAGTATTATTAATCAGTTAATATTTACTTTTTTATACATTTATATTTTTTTAATTATTTTAGTTATTATGATATGCCTGTTACGGAAGTTCGTAAATTAATTAATGCAATTGATAATGATAAAACCGTATTTAATTATTATCTTCCAGTTATCAGTACAGACTTAAGAAATTTGGTAGCACTTGTTGATGAAATTAAGGAAGAACAAAAAAACAAATTTATCAAACAACTTATAAATGAACTTCAGATAAATCAGAAAATACAGTTCTTGCAAACGAGAATAGAAAACCTGCAAATAAGTTTACAAGATCAGCAAGTTTGTGCACAAATAAGTCAGGAACTGGATGCACTGAGACAGCTATTAATATATACACAAAATCAGCAAACGGACGCACAAGATCAGCAAACGAATGTGCGAATGCGTCTATTTTTTCTGGAACTGAACAAATTAGATCAGCAAATGAAGCAAATAGATTTACTATTTAAGCAAATGAATTCGCAAATAAACCCGCAAATAAACCCGCAAATAAACCCGCAAATGAACCCGCAAATGAACCCGCAAATGAACCCGCAAATGAACCCGCAAATGAACCCGCAAAATCAGCAAATGAATCCGCAAATGAATTTACAAAATCAGCAAATGAATCAGCAAGTGGATTTACAAAATCAGCAAAATCAACAAATGGATATATAAAATTAGCAAATGGATATTGTTATTATCGATTTACAAACTACCCAAGACCACTACCAAAAAATTTTCGGTACCTGACTTGTTTTTTCCTGTAATCTTGCTTTGAAATGTAATTATTATAGTTTATTCTATTATATTTCTTATTTTTATTGTATTTTTATTTTGTTGCAAAAATAAAAACGCGTTTTTTATATATTAAATTTAAAGTTTATTGAAAATTTTTGCAACCTTGGGGTATAAAAATAAACTATCAAGTTTTGAGAAAGTTATTACAATTATTAAATTATACTAGGGAAACGGTAACCGTTGTGAAGTCCGAAGTGAATGTTACAGTAAAAAATGCAGTAATACAGCGCATTTTATGTGTAAAACAATATAGATATTAAAAATGCGTATAGCAATATTGTTTTTTTTATTAATGCAACTAACTAATACTATTATTCTTGTGTATCTACTCCAAATATAGTAATAGGACCAAGGTAATTCGATCAGTGACCCGATTTTCCTGAACTAAAAAAAGGTGGAATTTTTTTGATCATATTTTAAAATAGGCAAAGCACAACAAAACAAATGGGCTGATTGGTTATTTGAAATTTTTTTGCGACCAACGATCAGTGTACTCAATTTTGATTTTAATCATATGTTCGGATTGGCTAACGGATTTTGCGACCAAAAACCAAAACAATCTGCTAATTATTGCATTTCAGTTTTATGGGCGCAGTTTGTGTCAATCTTCGCCATATAAGGAACAAGTAACATTTAAGTGTCACCTGATCACGTGCAGCCACAAGTTCAAAAACATTAAATATCTGAAAAACTTAGTTTTTTTTAGTGTCAAAAATCTATTTGTCACCCCCATGATACAACCATGCCCACAAAACTGGGGTGCCTAATTATTTCAATAGAGATTTTCTGGTCCTGCCCCACATGCTCACCATATGTAGAACAAGCATGTCTAAAAAAAGAAAACTGAAGCGTTAGGGTTCTATATTTTATTTGAAGTTCAGAAAAAAAATCTAGTACATAGAAATAATCTTTTTTTTAAAAAAATAAATAAGATTGCAAAGTGAAAACTTATAGCTTCTTTAGCTGAATTCCTACAAAAAAAAAGTTAAAGAAAAAAATGAAACGTGAATATTTGTTTCATTAAAGAAGTAATTTAAAAACAAACCAACAAATTTTACTGAATTTTTCATATGTACCGATCTACAAAAAAAAGCACGACCTAAATGTGTGACAGGTTACGCTAAATATATTGTTTTAGAGTATAACTATAAACATCAATTTGTTTGACTGTCATAAATTTAACTTCACATTTCTGTTATGTAATGTTTATCTTAGAAAAAAATTAAAAAATTTTTTGCACCTTTTAAAAATATTAAAGTAAAGAATATGTATTTTGCGTATTTTTAAATATTAAAGTGTAATTTTTTTGCACAATTTTATTAAATAATCCATTTTATTAAATATTATATTACATGAAATTATGAAGTTTTATTAAAAAGCTAAGGTTGCTTGCTGAAACTAAAAAGGAAATTCCAAAAGGTTTCGGCCAATCAAATCAAATGCTGAAAATGCCAAAATTAGGCCAAAACTTGGTCTTAATTTTGGCCAAAATTAAAATTCAACCGAAATTATGACATTGTGTCACGTAATGTTACAATAATTTACAAAAAAAAATTTTGTTTCCCAGTAAAATTGGCAGAATCAGTTTCACAAAGGTTACACAAATTTCAAAAAAGGAAATTTATAATGTTGATCGTTTCTGGCCAGAATTACATTCTAAAAATGGCCAGAATTATACCAATAATTTCGGTCAAATTTCGGACTTTCGGCAATAATTTCGGCATTATAAATTTTGGCAAATTTATTTTTAATTGCCTAAACTTTTGGCTACAAAAAAGTTTTGGCTTTGGCCTAAATTACTTAATTTCGGCAAGCAACCTTATAAAAAGCACGTCTTAGTATACAAAAAAAATAACTTCATAAATATTTAAGTGACCTATAAAAATCAATACACATAAACTTCAATATCCACAATATTCACAGAAAATATTATTTAAAGATTATTTCACTTGTTTCTTTTGATTTAAAATGTTAAATTATGACTTGAAAGTAAAAAAAACGCGTTTTAGTATTTATATAAAAAAAAATTCATAACTTTATAAAAATTAATAAAAATTAAATACAAGTATCTCCATACCTTATAAACAACTTTCTTTAAGCATTTTCATCTGATAATAGTATAAAGTGGTGTTTTCCGTTTATTTTCGTAATGTTAGAAGATTTACCAGAAATGTTGCGATAACTTTAACATTTAACTCTGTTAATTGTCACCACCCTTGTCATAAATGTTTGGTGGAGCATAAGAAGCTAAACAATGTGGAGTTAACAAACAATCAAATTATCTTAAGAATACCAGAAAATATGAGATGTCTTGTTGAACAAAATTCTGCACAACAATATTTTTTACATGATATGAAAAATATCTTTTGGAATTATCTGTATATATCACGTAATTTTTAAAGAAAGTGTATTTATTTTGCCAATTATTTTCTAATATACTAGTGTTCACCACTTCACCCGTTATCTACGACAACAGTTAATATGTAATTCCGACCAGAATTAAAAGATCTGCAAAGAATTTCCTTTTTTGGAAATTTGAGCAATACAATTTTTTTAATTTCTCTGAAAAGTAACAGAAGACAAAATTTTCTTTTTTAAAAATTTGCATAACTGACAATTTCCTTTTATGGAATTATGTGTAACCAAAAATTTCAGTTTTTCACCAGAAATAAAATTTCCTTTTTGGTCTTGTATAACATTGGTGACGAATAGAAGTAGAGTTACACAATTCAAATGACTTATTTATATGGTTAATCTAAACATAACGTCTACGTGATTGCAGTGTTTTTTAATATATAGATTTATTTAAAAATAAACAATAGTCATTTAAATATTTATTTGTCAACAATATCTGACTGAATGCATCATCTCGATTTAGGATTATTTAATTATCAAGTGACCTATACAAGGGTGTTGTTAAAAAAATTGTGTGGTCAAATAGCGGTTGACGAACTTGATAATCATTTAGCTAAAATCCTACGATTTCCTGGCCTTAAGATATTCAAAAATAGCCTGGAAAATATTAAGCGGTTTATTGCCAATGAATTTCGGAATATGATAAAGGTATTTGTTTTCGTCATAGAAGGAATAGTCATAAACCACCACAAATCATCGATAAGTACATTCCGAGCCAAACAATCTGATGAAGCATTGGTTAACATGTATTATTATTGGAATAAGATGTATTTATACAGCTGATGTGAGTATTTTAAGGAATCAAAGCTGGTGATTTTTGATGTATGATTGCGAGAAAATATGATGATTAGTTTTTTATAAATATTGCAATTAACATGATTATATTTTATTTTGTTTAAAGAATCTAATTAAACAATGGGCAAAAAGCTTCATAAAACTATTTAAAGAATATTCTCTATCAGAACTTCAATTACCAAAGCTGCATAATTGGTGCTATCATATCATTAAGACAATTAGAGAATATGGAGCAATTAACAGGTTTACGATGGAAACGTATGAATTTTTACATAAAGATGCTGTAAAAATACCCTATAGGTCTAGTAATAAGCATGACCCAACAGATCAAATGATTAAATTAGTTGATATTACAGCTAGTACAATATTCAATGCATTATCACAAATTAATATTGTTATATTATATATAGGTTTACCAAAAAGGAATAATTAAATACTTACTTCAGCGTACAAATGTTAATAGACGCAAACAAAAAACTCTAATGAATAGTTTGTTAGACACATTTAATTTGCAAGATTTTGATGCATTTTTTAATAATTACTAATCAAACAATAGTTTGGCCTGTGAAGCTCTAACAGCTCTAGAATATTTTCTGGAATCGTTAAACGAGTTTTTAGATTTATGTGAAGGGTTAACAGATTAATATTAGTTGGTATAGTTATGCTAATATTTCTTCAAGCGGGGATTACATTAGAGCAAAAAGCTTGTATTATAACGAACTGTCATTTAGTGATGTGTCAATCAGCATGAGCGAGGAAGAGTCTGAAGATTATAATACAGCCGAAGGTGGTGCATATTTTAGCAAGGTACAGAATTTTATTTAATATTAAACTACTAACAAATGATAATCTAAGCAATAACTTACTTATTTTATATTTAGGTTCTTATGTTGATTAACGTTAAAATTATTGAAAAAGATTTGTTGTTTGATCTTGCTTTTGTACAATGGTACGATTTTTGTAATTCAAGACAATTATACAAATATGATTGTCTTTGGTTGAAGATTATAAACACGTATAACTTTGTGCCTATAGAATCAATTATAGAATTGGTACAAGTAGTTCAACATGCCAAACAACAAAATGAATATTTTGTTAATACATTTATGTTTTAATTTCGATAAATTATGTAAAACAATAAATATAGTATATTATACTTGCAAGTATTTAGTTAGTAGAGATAATTAATATATTGTTTAGTAAAGTTAAAATGATATGATAATTATAGTATAATTATACTTCACGTTCACTGGCAGTGAAAAACGTGTATTAAGCTTACATTACATAAAACACATGATGCAATAAAATTTTTTTTTTAAATATTAATTATAATATATGTATATATATACTTAAATTAAATGGTACAATAGTTAGATTATGAAATTTGATGTATTAATAGTGTAATTGAAGTAATTGGTTCAGTTCCTAAGGTGTGCAAAATAAATATAATTTAATTAATATATTTACAGTCTGATTCCCGTATAATCACATTCTATGTAGTCACACTTCTTTATAAGCACCCATTTTTGTAGAACGGGATTTTGGTACTATTAAATTACCTCCATATCAGCTATAATCACTATCGCGTAAACTTTTTAAACGACATATTACTTTTATTAATCAATAAACCTCTCGTAATCACATAGTTTTTATTGGTGCATCAATTTGATTTTATAATGTGATTAATCATTCAATTTGTAATACATTAAATCATATAAATCTGCAGCAATAGATCATCGTTTAATACGAAGACACGAAAAACTTTCACTATGTCTCCTATTAGACCCCAACCAAAATAACGTCACACAGCTATAAGTGATGATATTAAACGTCAGATATGTGAGTGGTCAACAGCAAATAAGAGCAAGAGACATGAAGATATTGCAAACCACTTCAATGAAAAGTGCCCTAATTTGAATATTGAAAGGAGCACAATTTCAAAGATTCTGGCACAAAGTGACAGGTAGAAAGCAATAAACGCTGAAGATTCGATTCAAATATTTAGACATAAAGAAGTCAAGTTTCTGGATCTTGAACATGCAATGAGCCTATGGGTGGAGAACGTGACAGCCAGTAGCGTAATATTAACAGATTTGTTAATAAAAGAAAAAGCAAGAACCTTTGGCGAAGCTTTTAATATTCAAGAAAAAGATTTGTCTTCTTCTAATGGCTGGTTATATAAGTTTAAAAAACGTAATAACATTCGAAAGTACCATATACACTAGGAATCGGGAAGTGCACCATTAGCATCTCTTCCGGAAGAGCGAGCAAGGTTGCAAGAAGTATTAGGTCGATACTCTCTTGACTGTATCTACAACATTAACAAAACAGTAAGTTTTCTCTTCTTTTTTTATTGAAAAGGTGTTAAAAAAAACATTAATCGGAATGTAGCAGAACGTTCTATATATCGATCATCTGCATAGTCCCGATGGAATACGTGCATAATGCATAATTTAGAAATTAAGAACGCGTGTAATGAACTTTGTGAACAAAAATTAATTTTTTTTGTTCCTTAGAGACTTTTTTACCGTATGTCACCAAGTGAAACATTCTCATCAAAGCCAGTTCCCAGTCAAAAGAAAGACAAAACTCGAGTTACTGTTATTCTTGGTGTTAATGCGACAGGAACTGACAAGTTAAAGCCGTGGGTAATTGGAAATTTGAAGCGTCTAAGACCTCTTTCAAAGGTTAACTTGGAACGTCTTCCTGTCTATTATCGAGGTAATCCTAAGGCATGGATGAACTCGTTGGTTTTCGAAAAGGTTCTTTGTGAAATGGATAGACGTTTCAAAATTCAAGACAAAAAGATCTTGCTTTTGATCGATAATGCTCTGTCACATTTCGACTCCCACTACTTGCCAGCCTTAGAAATCGAACAAAATGATGATGACAATGCATCTAATGGTAAGTTTGATCTATTAATTTACTAATTAACGGTTGCAGTACATTTTTCCAAAAGAACGTTTTTCCGATAACGTATTTGAGATAACGTCTGAAACTGTTAATTTTTTCTGATTTTTACCAGAAAATCAAACATTCAGAGGCTGTGATGGTCGTGTTGGTGGATCAAGAGGTCGTAGTGGTCATTCAGGAGATAGTTATCATGATGAATCAGGCGGGTATCAACTTGACATCTCCTGGATTCAACTAACTCATGTTGAGGTGGTTTTCTTACCTTCTAATACTACAAGCCATCTCCAACCTCTCGATGCTGGAATAATCGCAAGTTTTAAAAATTACTTTAAGAGAAAATTTTGCCGTCATATGCTGGATCTTTTTGAGGAAGGTAAAGATATAAACAGCGAAAAAATTAACATAAAGGAAGCCATTGACTATGTCGCTAAATCATGGGACTGTGTAACTGAAGAAACAGTTTAGAACTGCTGGGGAAAAACTGGAATTTTACCTTCTTTATCTGATGAAGACAGAGATGACGCATCACGAATCCAACAAGAAATGATGGATAGTGAAACAGCTGATGTCAATCAAATGATCGAAGAGCTTGATATGAATGACCCTTCTGCTGCTTTATTGGCAAATGAATTAAACAATTTCTTCCAAGAATTGGAAGAAATCCAGACAGAAGATATTTTAAGTGATGCCGATATTATAAGGTTGGTCCAGGAGGATGCACGTGATGAAGATGAAAGTAGTGACTCCAAAGATGATACTTTAGTATCTCCTGGTGATACATCTAAATCTTTAGAGATATGGATTTCATTTTACGAGCAGCAAGATGATAATGAATTTCATGCAGAAGATTTAAAGCTTTTTAAAAGGTACTTTAAGATCATCAAACGGTTGGAGTAACAATTCCGAAAGCAGGCATCAATTATGGATTATTTTTTCAGTATTTGATGAGTTTTTGGTTGATATTGAACATTTTTGTGTTATTAACATTTAATAAAAGCATTTATTACAAAATTTAAAAATTTAAGCATTATACAGTACATATATTTATACATGCATTTATACATAATCTAATAATTCATTCAGTATTTTTGTTTTAAATTAATAATTAATACTAGTATAATTAACTGCGAAAAACTTCGAACCAACCTTTATGTAATCACAACATGGGATTTTTAATATGGCAGTGATTCTATAAAGGTTACCTTTTTACTGTCACACTTCTATAAAATCACCAATTTTAGTGGAACCAATTAGGTGACTATACGGGAGTCAGACTGTATATATAGTTGTATTAATATACAGTGCGTTAAATAACAATGCATAATGTGTTGAACTACACATTAGAGTTGAATGACGCATTAAGCGTTGATATACTTCAGTATACAGGTGTTGATTAATATTGTAAATCACGTTGAACAACTAGCTGGTATTGATCAATGTGTATACTGGTATGAATCAACACTTTTCAAATTTGCTGATGTAATACTAGCAACATGTGTTTATTTTTTTATTTTGCCTCCTCTTTCTTTTATTTCTTTATTCTTTTGTTCAATATTTTTTAATTACATACAAAATATTTACATATATTTTATAATTTATTGCTTTACAGGTATAGAAATATTTGTTTATTAATACTAATTATTTTAATACTAACGTGTTTTTTACCTCTTTGTTACTTTATATCGTAATACTAATAATACTATCAACATTTCCTTTATTTATTCCTAATACTAACGATAATATCCATGTTTCTTTTACTTTTTATTTAACTCTTTTTATTTTAATACTAATAACACTAACAATATTTCTTTTATCTTTGTAACTAATACTAATGTTAATACTAATGTTACTATAGCTGATTCTTTTTTTTTTACTTTTATATATTCTGTATATATTAATAAATATTTGTAATTTTTTAAAATTATATCTAATAAAATATACATTATATAAATTTACCAAAATTTATGTATCACTATTATAAAGTGAAAATGAAGTATTATTTATTGAAATATTTGAAACATTACGAAATAATACATTATGTAAAATCACAGAATATTACGAATGTGTCAAATTATGGAGTATTACATATCATAGAATTTTGAAATATTTTAAAAGTTGCGAAGTATTACACAGTAAAATTACAGAATATTACGAACCGTAAAATTACGAAGCTCTGCATATTGTAATATTTCAAAATATTTTAAAAAGCTACAAAATATTACACTTACGCAAACTTGCAATGAGTCTGAAAACTTGCAAAATGCTATGTAAAATTACAAAAAATACGAATCGTAAAATTACAGAATATTACAAATCGTAAAAATTATGAAGTTTTGCGTACCGTAATATTTTGAAATATTTTAAAAAGTTACAAAATATTACGTTTATGCAAAGTTGTGACGGGGTCTGAAAACTTATAAAATATTATGATGCATAAACTTGCGTAACTTTTCGCACTATAAAATTTCCTGATGTATATAAAAGTTTGATTATATAATATTATTTAAATATTTTTAAAAAAAAAAAAAATTTGGCTAAAATTATAGAATATAATAAATAAGAATTACAAATGGAATTTTTATATTGAAAAATTAAAATTTTAAATTTTTAAAATAATATATAGTAAAAATAAAAATAAGAAAAATGTAACATAATAATATATATATTTTTTTAGAAATATAATTTATTATTATTTTGAAAAAAAATATGAAAATAATACAAAATATGAATTTGATGGTATATATTAGAATTTCAATCAATTTTAGTGATTATCAAATTGAAGTTATTGAACTAATTAGTTTTCAGTTTTCAGTTAGTAATTACATCAAAAATTACTAATATAATATTTCAGTAATTTATTGATTAGTTTAGTAATTTTAGTTTTTAGTATCAGTTTTATATCAATCTGATTATTAGCCAACTAATAATCTTTTTTTACTATATCACAATTTTTTTTTTAATTTTTTATTTCTTTTTAATTGTTCTAAATAATCTATATTAATTCAATTATAAATTTATCAGTTTACTTAATTGCAGATCCGCCTAAAATCAGCACTGCGTTACTAATAAAATTCGGGGTTAAATTTACCGATTTTGTGCTAGAACACAAACTTCAAAAAAGGATATCTCATAGATGACATATTGACTATAAAAAAAATCATATGATATACTGAAAAAATACTTGAAAAAAACGAATTTGCAAAAAAAAGTTATACATTCGTATGCAAAATAATGAGTTTACTATGCACACGCGTCAGATTTACACCTTAAAATATACGAAATTTCAATATTTCATTTTACTATATTGCATTATTTACATTAAAAACCTATAATTTTTAGCTTCTAAAGTTGTTTTTAAAAGCTTTTTTGAAATATTTTTATTATTAAAAACAAGTGAAAGTTAAAGAAAACCAGTTACAGAAATATAATTATAAAATTTTTTGGCAAATATGACTTGTCATAAAATGAAAGAAAATATTGTATTTATGATATTTCTGTTTGTAAAATGGTTGAAACTTATTTCGCGCGCAAGATTCAAAAAATGCTTTTTTTTATTATCGCTATTATTTCCGAATTTTATTAGTAACGTAGTGCCGATTTTAGGCAGATCGGCAATTAATTGTCATTTTTTATTACCTTTATTAATAAATAAATAAACATTTTTTTTAAAAAATAAGTGAAAATTTAGCTTTTGAAAAATTATATATGTGAATATATATTAAAAAATTAAAATTTTATAATAAAATTTATATAAATTTGTTATTTTGCACATATAGATCTTTATTAAAATTTTAAAAAATAAGTTCATACAATACACATAAAACTAATATAAATCCTAATTTAATAAAGAACTACACCACCCGTTAACTTCAATGAAGCAACCATGTGTGCACTGTCAGTGAAGGACTTAGGCTAGAAGAGTAAGCCCGCTTTGTAAGCATTTTTTCTTAAAGGAATCTCCTCCTTCTGGTTTACACTATGAGTGCTCCCAAGGACTCACTGCTACTGCAGACAAAATCCATTTCGAACAAAATGAAGTAAAGGAGTAAAACAGAAAAATCAGGGTAAAAAAAAAAAAAATTAAAAAAGGGTAACTAAAAAAAATATTAGTATTCTACAGATACGAAGTCAACTATACTGTTTACCATAAATCTACATATAGTCACCAAGACCAAGTAGTCATCCCGTCAGTTCTCAAGCCTTCTTAATAATAATCTAATTTCTGCTAACAATATTAGTTTGCCAGATTTACTACCATCCAAACCTTTTTTCATAATCTTTAGAGTTGAAAATACATGTTTCTTTCCAATAGATTTGCTCATCTTAATCTTGTTATCTGTAGTATTTATTCCAACTTTGTTAGCCGAGTCTTAGTTCTGCTTTTAATTTCAGTATAGTTGTTTCCAAAATTCAATTGGCAAATCCGAAATCTGAAATTACAAAATCGTAATTAATTACGTATTCCAAAATTCCAAAATTTGCATAATAGTGCGAAATTGCGAATATCTCGGGATCTAGTGATCAGATTTCGATGATCTTACTACCATTCGATTCATCTCATCGAGGCGAATCTAATGATATGTGTTCATTTCTATAGCACCGATATTGATGGAGTAAAATTACTATAAACATTTAATGAATTTTGGTGTCGGAGCACGATCTAGTGATTAGATTTGAATGAATTTACCACCATTCGATTCGTCATGACGAGACGATTCTAATGGCAGTAAGATCATCTTTCTAGCATTGAAATTGGCGTAGCTATTACGCTATAAATATTTAAAAGTTATTGGTATCGGATCGCGATCTAGTGATTGGATTTAAATGATCTTACTACCATTAGAATCGTCTTATCAAGATGAATCAAATGGTAGTAAGATCATCCAAAACGGATCACTGGGTGCCGAGTTATTATTTGTTAAAGTTTATATATATAAATCGGCCAAAATTAAGGCTAATTCTGGCCAAATATTTTCGTAATACGAAATTAATTACGGAGTCCGAAATCAATTATGGAATACGAAGTTTTTCTAATGAATTACTTAATAATTACAGAATTACGTAATTACATATTTTCATAATACTAAAATAATTTCGGACACAAGTATAAATTTCAGCCATTTCTTGGTGATCGATTACAACCTTTAGATAGTTGAGACAAGAAATACCTAGTCCAAACACCTTCATATTCTGGCAAGTTCAACTTGGTATTCGTAATTTTATCCAAATCAGTCCAATTTTCATAATACATGATGAGCTTGTGGGTACTTTTCTCGTGAACCATTTTGAAAGCTTTACATCCCAAATGGGATATAGGTGATTGGGAAGAATCTGTAGGATACAGCATTGAAGTGATGACAGTTCCAGGTAAATCTTTCACTACAGCCTGAAATTGTTCTCTTTCCTTTCTTTATTGAAGATTCCAGTTAGCAGGATACTATCAGACAGGAAGACCTTCTAAAGGAGTGGTTCAGACTCCTTGATTTTATAGACTCATAGCCTATTCGTTAAAGTCAATAGAGACAGTGACCGTTAAATATGTTTAGTCTTGAAAGCGATCACGTGACCCCATTTCTCAAAATGCTGAAAAAGTTCGAGTTAAGCTCAAGTGGAGGGGATATCATATAAAGTAAATTTCTGAACATTGTCCTTAAGTACTGGATCATATCCGGTCATTACTGATTGTATTTCTTTTGAAGGAGTGCGTTGTTATTTTTTCTTAGCTGGCTGAACCTTGCTATCAGATGCTGATCGCTTGGTCACGTTAACTTTTTGCCTATTACCAGGTGGAGTCAGGAAGGTATTATGATTGCTGCTTACATCTAAGTTCCTGAAGGCCATTTCTGCAAACGTGACAGTACGTCTTTTTCCTTTTGGAGTATAGGGTATAGTTTTGACATTCAATTTTGTGGAACTCTGTTTAGAATTCTTTGTTGAAGATTCTGCAATCACGTCTTCTAATTGGTGTTCAGTGTTTTGATCGTTGTATTCCACATCCATTAATTGGTATTCGACATTTTCAAAAATTTCTGTTTCCATCAGTTGTACTTTTATTGATACTGGTATATCATTGGCTAATTCTGTTGGCTTAAACTGCACTACTTGTTCTTGGATTGTTTTCTCAATGTAATTTTTCAAAGAGACTTCATACTCATCAGCAACAGTGGCGAGAGTAAATAATAAGTAGATGAGTTGAACTTCATTCTTAACATCAAGTTCCTTAAGTACAGGTTTATGGTTTTTAACAAAGTTTTTAGTATTGTTGTATTCTTCAGTCAGTAAAATACGCTCTACATATCCTAGAATATCGGTTGTTCTGATGAGTTCTACCTTCTGAAGGGCAATACGTAGGATGTTAAGAAAGCTCTTTCCATTAATATTACGTTTAGTGATCTGTTCAAGGTTGATAATATTAGAATATTTGGCCAAGTGTGCCATATTTTAAGCTATAAAATGATAAAAAATAAAATTATTTTTCTGCGAAAAAAATAGACATAACTGATAATGATCATTAGAAAGAGTTTTACTTATAGATTTGTTATTAAATGGTAATATATCATATATATATATATATATATAGTTTTATTTTTTAATATAATTTTTATAATAAACATCAAGAAGTAGTAAATTTCAGTAAATCAGTATTAATAATCAGTAATTACTAACTACAGTTTATTAATATCAAAAATTCAGTAAATTACCAATTATCAATACTAAAAATTCAGTTTAGTATCAGTATAATTCAAATTGAAATTAAATCATGCTAATTAGAATTTAATATATATTTAAAATATTATTAAAGATGTATATTTTGGAAAACTCTTTTTACTAAATGTCTGGACCATATGTTTTTGATAATAAAATTTTTTTATTTTTTTATTTTTCGCTTATAGCTTATACACTTTTTTATTATTTTAAATACTTCAAGCAAAGACTTGACAGCAAAAAACCTAACGTGGTTTATTTTAGTATTAAAAATTTTTTATCTTTTTTATTTTTATTTTTTACACGTTTTCTCTTTCTTTGTGGTGTTCCTGGACTTAAGACGGTCTGGAGAGACGTATCATCCAAAATAAGCAAGCTTAGAATAACGACAGGATGTGAATAGTTTTAAGCTTCTTCTTTTAAGCGGAATAACGAAATCTTGGATATGAAAAGAGTGACCAACGAACTCCTAAACAATAAAGACTTAGTGGATTTTTTCACAACAACTTTCTCTATACCAATGGGCCCTCCTTCTTCAAGATACTCAAACAGGCTATCAAAAAGCACGAGACAGCTTCACAATAACTTAAGCATTATACACAAGATTATCTCTGAAAAACTTTAACTAGTCTACTTGAACGATATGAACAACACATACCTTTACCTTCTTTTACACTTCCTTCAATAGGACCTCGAACATTACTAATAAAACTCGGATCTGAATTTGTATAAACCTTATAATTAATTTCTATTCCAAATGTATAAAGTTATATGTAGATTTTAGCCTCAAATTTTGCTATCTCGGGATCCAGTGATTGGATTTTAATGATCTTTGGCTTGTTAGATTCGTCTCATCGATGCGAACATTTTGATATGTAATTCGTCTTTTTAGGTATAATATTGACTGAAATATCGCATTTTGAAATTTTAGTCACACGAAATCTGAGTTGTTTTAGTAATGTTCAGATTCTTCTTCGACGCCTGTTATTTATTCACACCCGCTGGCATTTCCTATTCGACAAGTCATAAGACTCCTGATTAAGCTACCATCTAATGAATTTTGGATTAGATCACGTCATAAACTAAATGCATTTCTGAATACTTTCCGCAATTTGCCGGCATAACAACAAATAATTTATAACTCAGAAGATAACTTCCATTTTGGAACAACTTACAGAACAGACAACCTTTTATAGAATTTCAACGGCTTTTTCAATATAACGCTCAGTCCAACCTTTTTCTGATATTGTGAAACTGACCGATTTTGGTTTCTCTTTAAACAACCTTTGATAAAAACTTTGGACTTCATCTTTGACTGTACCTATACACCTCAAAGGAAGAAGGATAAAGACAAATATCGATATTATAGAGCCCAGATTTTTTCTTTAGTTTTATTTTTTTCTTTTTTTTTCATTTATTTATCAATATTATTTAGCATTTTTTTTAAATTTAGTATTAGCGTTAGTTTTCATATAAATACTTTAAATTTGGATAGAGCTTACCTTGAATGGTTGACTGAGATAAATTTAAAATGGCAGCTAACAGTGTTCAAGAATCTATGCTGTGACAGTGGATATCTGATGTTAAAGTCTACTCTTTCTTACAACAAACTACTTTCTATTGGTAAATGGCTTCACGCTAGTTGACCTAACAAATTGGGAATATTTTGCATTTGCTATAGCTGGTCAGTCCTGGTCTTATCATGCGTACCTTGGATCTTATGGCTTGGATAGGACCCCAGACATCACATATATAACTCACATTTGAGTTTTAGCAAATTCAATCAAAATTAGGTTAAACTCATAATTTTTTTTATAGCAAATTGATTGAAAATTAATTAATAGTCATAATTATGAGTTTTAGCAAATTGTATTGATTTTACAAAGTCATATTTTATATTTGAGCAAATTGGGACTTTTTTTAAATTTAACTTATCCTTTTTTTTTAACTTTATAAATAATATTTTTAAAAATATTAGTTTCAGGGTCTGGGTTATATTTTGGTCAAAATTAAGTATAATTCCAGCCAAAATTAAGCATAATGCAAGCCAAAAACTGTCTGTTTAGTTTCGCAACATTTTATTTTTTAATAATTATTTATTTAATTTATTATTTTTATTAATTATTATTTTATCTATAATCTACATATTTTAATTATAAAAATTGGCAGTTTAATTTATATTAATCATTTATTTTTTTATTGATAATAAAAAAAAAAGATTATTAACTCATATTTTGAGTTTTAGCAAATTAGTATAGATTTGAAATGGGATAATTTGATTTTTAGCAAATTAGGTCTATACATGAAGTCAAAATTAAAGCCCAAAAGTAGAAATATTTCAACTTGGGATGGTCAAAAGTCAAAATTAAAGTCAAAATGGTCAAAATTACATTATAGTCATGTGATTTTTATAATTATAATTTAATATAAAATTTAAACGTGAATAACTCCGTCAATATTGATGCTACAGATATGAAATACATATCATTGGAAGAGCTGAATCCAACCGCGTAAAGATCATAAAATTGAATCACTGGATGAAAGATCGTTAACTTTGAATTTTAAAATTATTGTTTACTATAAAAATTATAAGACTATTTAATACCAAATTTTAAATGTAAATAATTCTGTTAATATTGATGCTACAAATATGAAATACATAGAATCCTCTCGATGAGCTGAATCCAACTGTGTAAAGATCATAAAAATTGAATTATTGGATGTGGAGTTCGTTAACTTTGAATTTTAATATTATTGTTTACTATAAAATCATATGACTATGACATAATTTCGACTATTTTGACTTTTGAAGGGGCTCAAGTCAAAATCATTTTGACCATTTCAACCATTTTAGAGGTCAAAATTAATCAATTTCAGTTTCATGTATAATTAGGTCTATTTTAGCAGGAGCAAAAAGTACTTAAATTCATGCAGATCAGCAGTTATGAATTATATATGTGATGTTTGGAATCCTGCTTGAATAGTAGATGCCTCTCCTCTCCAATTTTTTCAGGATGCTTGTAGGAGGAATGATCTGGATGGATTTCTTACATTATAGTTTTATTTACTTACACTACAAATCTTTTTTTCTTTTTTTTTTATTCGCAATGTAGTGGATCCTGTGAATGCCTTGTGAAGAAAGAGGGGCATTTATGCTAAGAATGGCTATTTCAAAATGAACCATACTTTCTGAGTAAAAATTTTACCTAACAGTGCATACATGGAGTGCTTTATAGCATGATGAGTGGTTTGGTAGTTAATAATATTAGATAGTTAGATTAGGTGTTATTACTTTATGTATGTCCCGATTCTTTTTACTGTTTAATAATAAACTATCAAATGCATTGCGGAAAAAAAAAAAAGATGTATATTCTTAAATATATTTTATATAGATGTTATTATAGTAGAACTAATTTATATTTACACTTTATTATATAAAATAGATGTATTAGTATAAAGGTAATTTTATTATATAAATTAAATAAAACTTTTGTTAATAAAAAGTTTACTTACTATATTTAATATTTAATAAGGTAAATTATTTTAAGTTCTTTTAATATTATAATTTTTTACAGATTTTATTGGTAATAAGTTATTATATAAATTATTTGTATAAAGTATCTCTTAACAGTAATGCGGACAAATTTGCCTGTAATTTCTAAAAATTAATTATATTTAAATATAAGGTTTGTTAATATAAATCAGATTATCCAATAATTTTACAACCAAATTGACCTATATTTTGACAATAAATTTGTATAGTCAAATATATAGCTAATCATTAAAATTAGATGAAAAATTAACTTGCAAAGTATAGAATCTAATTTTTTATATAATAAATCTAAATTCTTCTCACAATATTTTTCCACTATTGGAAATATTTTAATATACTTTTTATTTTTTTTATGGAAATTTTACATTATAATAAATAAGATAAAGATAAAAAAAATTATTTTTTAAATTTATATAATATTATATAAAGTCAAAATCTTACTTCTAAATATTTAAAACTATAATAATAAAAAGCGTTCCTCATAATAAATTATACATATTTTATTAAGTTTTAATATAGCTGCAACTAATTATTAATGAAATCACCAAAGTTAAAGTATAAAATTTTTTAAATTTTGTAGTTATGTTGAAAATGCAACTTTTGACCAATGGATAATTTTCAAATTTCTAATATATAATTGATAAATGATAATATTTGCTGCATAATATATGATTTAAGCTATTATGAAAAAAAAATTTTATTAACTTTATTTTTTATAAAATTAGATGAGAGTAGAATTTTCAGTAAAATTGTGGGCAAATTTACTTGCAATTGCTTACTGTTTAAAGAATAAGAAAAATTGTATAAAAAAAATAAAAATAAAAATTTAAAATAAAAATTTATATAATTACTTTTAATATCAAATAACTAATACCTTTAGAAAATACAATAAAAAAATAAAATAAAAGTTTATATTAAGAGGTTTAAAGAAAAATAAAAAAAAAAATTATTATTTATAAAAAAAATAGTTATAAATGAAATCAAAAAGAGTTTTCTTTATTTTTAATATTTAATATATTATAAGATAATATAATATTAAAAAATTGGTTCTCATTTTTATGTATTTAAAATTTTGAAGTTAATGATAAGTATTTTATTTAAAAATTTTATATATTTGTAAAGTAAAAATGGTAATATTAAAAATTATAATAATAAAAATTGTTCTTTATAATAAATATTA